GCCAGAAGTGGCCGCAGTACAAGGGACTTAGTCCCACCCTACTAGCAAGAACAAAACATGTAGCATGCATGGCAGAAATCAGAACTGTTTGGCAAATGCTAATTTTAATACTTAACGAATATGATCACTTGTGAAACTTAAGCGTAAATAGGAGATTAAAATGCATGACGAGGAAACAAAGCTTAATGGTGGGAGGACTGGTTTCAGCTGGCCAGAACACATTTTAATAATTCACAACTGTGCCTCGTAATTCCATACTTATGGAATAAAATGTCCTATTTTATTATGTTTATAACCGAAATTTTTATTTTGCAAAAATGTCAATAATTTATTTTTATGTCTACAAATTGTTTTACCCCTTCGATGCAACAAGTTAACCTGTCCAATTGTTAACTACCTGTTGCATGTAACTTCTGTTAACCTGTTCCTATTTATATACACCTTTTGCGGCTTTGGTTATTTTAAATCGTAGCCATGTTTGGTCATACACATAAACACATAATCGTATCTAAAATCACGAAGCAAATTATCGATTGTGTAACCAAGAGACAGGGGCAGGAATGGTAATAATTAAATTGTTTCGAAATTAATTAATGTTACCGTTTCAGTGGCATTTCGCAAGCAAAAGGTAATTAAAGTAAATATTTCCGTGTCAGATCTACGTTAATTATATTGCCCTCTTCAGATGGCTGAATAATACTGTGGAAAAAAATGTGAGACATTAATACTCGTGGTATGTTAAAGCAGTAACACGTTTTGACAAATACCTTATTCCATTTTATCGCATCTCAAATAGACCGAAAAAAATGTAGCAGATTTTGCACTGTATTAGAGTAAATGCTGAGACCAATCGAGATTCTTGTCCCTCACGTCACATTCATTTTTGTGCATCACAGAACACCAGAATTATTGAAATAAAATAAAAGCATAAAATGTGAAACTCACTATGAAAGACTTAAAGAAAATAACAATCCCTAACGACATGAAGCACAGATTTGTTTAGAATTTGATATTCTATTATCTGTACATGAATTCCATTAGCTTTTATTTCAAACTGAAAGTGCATTAACATATTTAGTATGGCCATCCAGCGGGTCTCATCTTATAACAGTCTGTTCAGCCTACATCGTCTATTGAGGTCCACTTAATATTATTTTCCCATCTAAGTTAATTCTCCTAAGCACGCCCACTGCTTTCTGTTTGAAGTCCTGTTGTAATTATAATGTCCCCAGGGCGCCTAATCATCCTTAATGTGACAGCTCTAGCAACATTTCGAAGATCTTCATATTTAACCTCCTTACCCTTTGGGCATGTACTTCAAGGTACGGGTGTTTCGTCACAAGAATATCAAATCAATTATATACATTTGTATTTTCATGAATACTCATGTTCAAATTTTGGTCATTTATGTGGATATTATATTTGGGAAAAATAATTTGCCCCAGTTTTGAGTACCGAAACAGAAGACTGTGGCCAATAGGTTTAGTATTCATTTGCAAGACTACAATTTGACACTCGTTAGGTTTATGTATAATGTTTTTCTCAGGCTAAGATTGGCAGGAGTATCCATGGTGAGGAACTTCCATACGTATTTGGAGTTCCTCTGGATAATGTGAACTTCCCTTCACATCGCCGCTTCAGCGTGGATGAGAGGCGCTTTTCCGAAGCCGTAATGACATTCTGGACAAACTTCGCTAAGACGGGGTAAGTAGCCCGCTGTTGGGATGCAGAATCTTGCCGCCAAGTAATTTGAAATAGTTTTCAAACTGCGGCAGGAGACACTGAGCAAACATTAAACTATCCTTACTTGTGAGTTAACCCATGGACCATTTTCTGGGCTTGTGGATATATACTAGTGTTTCGTAATCAAATTACATTCAACAACAAGTTTCTGAAATTACACGCCCTAGACAGTACCAGAAATGGTCTCCTCATTCAACTTCTCTGAATCGTCTTTGCAGGTTTAATTAACACAGTTGTACAGTCATAAAGAATGTGAATTTACTTCTCTTATCAACAGAACTGTATTCATGTTTAAGAAATGTGAATCAACATTTGTACAGAACACGTAATTTTGACGATGGTTTATATCACTGGGTTTTTGGACTATATCGAACGTCCGGTATTGTAAAGAACATCATATTTTTGAAAGTGGATCTGTTACTATCCTCAGATGAGGGAATGTGATACACCTACTCTGTTTGGGCCGTCATCAAACATCACTGGATAAATCAGACGGACCCAACAGAGTAGGTGTCACCCAACTTCTCACCTGAGGATTGATACAGATCCAGTCTCCGAAATGCTTTCTTCAGAACACTGGACGGTAGACAAAGTCCACAGACGCAGCAATCTAGAATGCATAGGACAGGTTTGTCTAGGGGTAACAATCTAGGCTTATTTTCCGGCTCCCGTTTCTTACCGGAAGTCTGACTGTCTCGTGTGGGGCGTTACGTGAATTTCCTGAATCCCTCTAGACAACTGCTATAAGATTTCCTCAATTACACCACAATCGCCTCCTTTCGAATCCCTTCGAATTCACAATTCAACAATCATACTAGTACCTTTCTTCGCTATGTAGCCTAATACTGAGAGCCTGTTAAGTAGAACACACAAACGATAACAACTGAGTGCATTGTCCGTATGAAACACATGGGTCAGGTTTTGTAGTCATTTCCATAGTACACATCTCAGCCGTTATGCGCAATGGCCAACAGCCGATATATATGTCGGAATAAATTATTGCCTGTCTCTGCGCAGTGCAAATTTCGATCTTGAAGATAAAACCGGACATAAGAGACCCGCAACACGTCCCTAGAGAAACAAAGCGCAGAGTTTCTCGTAACTGAAAACAAGCCAAAATCCATAACAATTAAAAAATCCTACAACTAAAATACAAAACACTTATTCAATGCTAAATAATAGAAAAACAAACCAGGATGTTAGCTAGAGAAAGGTGCATTTTAATGCTAATTCTTTACGTTACATATTAACTCCTTCAGAAGCATCTCCACGTCCGATCTATATTTCGACCCTTCTTATGCTTAATTTAAGGTAACTTACTTTAAATAATGTAAGATCTGTGGTTTTTACGGTGGCGACTATGAAAAAAAGCAGTCAGGGTAGAAGATGGAGGAGATACGTTCCTCCGAAACGTCGGTTAACACTATATCTACACGGCGCCACATCCCAGAAGACTGCTTTCTACTTTAAATAAATTTACGTTTCAAGTTTGTTGACCTTGAGGAATATCATTTGGCTTTTACGCAAGGCAAAATAGATGTAACAAATTGTAAACAGGTGAGCGGACAGGCCACGAAGTTTCTCCTCTTCCAACCCAATTAACCAAAAATTGATTATAGGATTACGTCATCGAAACATGGGGATAAACCATCTGCGCCTTCAGAGGTTGGAGGAATACCAAATTACATATTAGCATGGTCGGTTCACTTCTTGTGGTAGATGATTCACGCGTAGCACGTGTGCGGTCAACAGGTCCCTCAAATTTTCCCAATATTTCTATATACATACGTGTATCGACAACATCTGTCTCATTTTTTATCCTTGGCACTACAGTCCCAGTGGGACTAGGCCTACCTCCATGAACTTCTCCGTTCACTTCGGTTTTTCTAGATCTTACACCAGGCAAGTCAAACTCAACTTGTACAGAGGGCCACCTCAGCCCTATATAATAGTCCAGGGCCGCACTTCAAAATAGAAATATACATTAGATTTTGATACAAGGAAATTTAATTCTATTTATTAAATAGGAATAATTTTAATACAATTACCTAAAGTCACATATCTTACAGTTTTAAAAAACAAGAGAATACCATTTTTTACATGTATTAAACAGCTTTTCAATATGTAAAAAGAGAGATTACACATGAAATTATGTTAGAAATAGTAAAACATTGAATTTCCTGCAGCCTGCTAATTTATATCTGTGTGAGACTTCTTGCCTTCTGGTCTGTTGGAAAATTGTCTTTACAAAAAATATTTCTACTAAAATTTTAATATTGATTTTAATATAAATTAGCTCCAAAAGTTGAGGGGCCGCACTTTGTGGCTATGGGGGCCGCATGTTTGACACGGCTGTCTTACACATTCGGTAGGACTCCTTGGGCGGGTGATCAGCTCGTGGCAAGGCCTCTACCTGCACAGAGACACAGAAAATAAACCGAACACACAAACTAAACATCCATGCCCTGAGTGGGATTCGAACCCACGATCCCAGTTTCCAAGCGAGCGAAGACAGTACATGCCATCTGTCTCATTAAACGGACTAAATCAACGCTTGATACACTCGTATTTATCACAAGATAGGTTACACAGACACGCATACGTCAGTTCACCCCGAACTTAAAGCCTGAATTTCAATATTGCAAACATTCAATTGCACGTTGAACTGTCGCTACTCTGAGGCTCAACGCGGCTCAAAATGTTAATGGGTCCTACGCTATTCAACTAAGCAATACAAAGGACTGATCTTGTGTACCTTGGAGTGACAGATGATATTAATTTTAAGAACATAAATTTGAGAACAATGGGAAAACAATTAATGCTGTGTTGTTTGAAGTTATAACTCATTTTTCTGATATAAAGGCATTACTTACAGCAAAAAACACTCCATCAAATTTTAATGTATTTTGTCGCTTAACATTTGCACATTACCCGATATTTTTTATTGAGGCGTGAAATTCTGTTCAAATCATTTCTTAATACTGAACGACATAAACCAAATTACATACGTATATGACTGGTCAGTTACATCAGAAATTTAAATACTTATTGGTTTATTGACTGGTTTCACAATTATTTTGGTGGTTGGCTGATTGCTAGTTGTTTCTTTTGTTAATAACTTACTCGGTTGGTTGATTATTAATGTGTCTAGACACTGAGCTGAATGACAGTTTAGCTGAGCATGTCGTTACATTTAAGGATAATTAATTAATTAGAAACTTACAGGATAGCTATCGTATTGGCTTCTCACTTATTTCAGTTCAGTTTCTTTCAAAATTTCTTTCAAAAAACCGGACAGTGTTTTCGGCAAGTGAGTAATTTTATTATTTTCGTGTGAGGAACTTCTCGTGCTTTGTCAAGTTCATCAGTCCTTCATTTCACGTCTAAGAATTTGTTGCTAAATTGTACCGGTGCAGGGTTTGGGTTTAGTACATTTACACAGATATTGGGGAGTAGGTAGGCTAAGCAGGTAGCGAGGGGTGGCTGTATGTACCAGTAATGCGACGTAATAAAATGACTGATTGGCCAAAAGTTGTCCCCACTACAAGACATTTCGTGGAGAAAATTATTGTGAGGTATATAGAAATATTCAGTAGCATGTATGTTATGCTTGACAAAACGGGATCAATGTGATGGAAAAAAAACAAACAATTTTTCTTTCATAATTGGCATATCTGAAGTTCCTTTGTCATTAATTATGCTTGCTTTTGCCCAACTTGAATTCTGCATGAATTCAAACCATGTATCGTGTAAACAGTAATGATGGATGACATATGACTGTCACATTGGCAAGATTATATTGTGACAGGGTTAATGAGTAGGTCATACAAATGGGGTGGTTAAAGGAAGGGGGTGTCAGAGACAGCAACGACAAGGTGTGTGGGATAGAATTTAGCTATTCCCATAGCTAGTGGAGTGGGGAACGTCAAATTTCTCTCAGTTCTCCCTGAACCTAGCAAACAGCTATGAATGTTAACTGGAAACAGGCTAAGCCTGTACTCCACTTGCATACATAAGTAATACAGAACGTGGTTAAAGCGTGTACATGGAAGAATACAACTGAAGCAGCTCCCGATGGAGGTGGTCAGAGTTACGCTAAAATTGTGTGGTGGGAACTGCAAGGTTGTTACGTTGGTAATGTTAATGAATTGATACCAGAATGAGCTAAAATGAGAACAACATTTTGGGTCTGTTTGGGTTTTCGTTAAATTGAAATTTGAATATGTTCTTTAATAGAGTCGGGGACACCAATTTTGGTGCGTCCAGGACACTGCATCCGGTCCCACTACTTGTCCATATATATATATAAGGCTACCCCTCGCTTCTTTTCTAAAGGTAGGGTCTCAGGGGCAAGAAAGAAATGGAAGGGTGGGTAGGGAGGAGATCATTTTCAACCACCAAAATGGAATTCATAATTAAGACACTTTCAGACATATTACTTAACCGTCTCATTATTATTGCGATGTAAACATATTGGGCCTTTAACTTCCCCAAAATTTATCCCTATGCCGTGAACCTAATATTCCAATACTCTTTCTTTTCACAAACGCCTGAACATGAATTGTGTTCCTCAATTAAATCCGTTAATATTGTAACACGAAACATGAAAGCCGAAATAGTTGAGCCGGAGTAGACGTTCATTGCTAGGCAACAACCTGATAAATAACTTCGGGCGGGAAATAACACACATGCAACAACAGAAGAATTGCTGTTTCTATTCAACTGACGGGTAAACACATATCGATAGCAATGGAAGAATTGTTAGGAAGCGGTGTTTTATTTTCGAGCTGCCCCGAGGCTATATAACGAGGATAACTTGAAGACGGAGACAGAATCCAGTCTCCGAAACGTTTGGTTCATCTGGGCGGAGTTGCCGCTTTACGAACCAGGCGCGACAGGACGAGAAACTACAACCCAAAACTGAAGAACTATAAAAATTGGAATTTCTGCTCACCAAATTTCTCAGATAACCCAAAAATTTCGATGTCTGTAATTTGTTTTGTTTGTAAATTTCGGTCATAATTTGTAGGCATGTATTCCTCGCTTCAGAAGTTCATTACTCGTACTTTACATTCAGCTGTCTTGTGGTTCTGGTACATTCGACAAAGCGCATCTAACGTGATATACATTTCGAAGGTTTATCACCACACAATATTTCACCGTCCTACAATGAATGGAAATGCGAACTGAAAATACAGGTGGCATTCATCTCAGCAGATTTGGGGGTCTTCATGTTGAAAGTGTCTATTCTGGAGAAATAAAATTTACATTTGTCAACAGATGAAAATTTTTCTTTTTAGGTTTCGAAATACACGGCTAGACACGAATATACCATGTAATTACTTTGCGTGTTGCATAAAGAACATTAGAAATACAAATCTGCTTAGTGATATCTTTCCTGCTAATGTCTGTGACTCGCTATGTCAACAGTGCGCATATTCCTACTGCTCTGCGCCATGTTTCAGGAATCCAAACGCACCGCACCGCCAGGCCCATTTCGCCGTCGACTGGCCAGAATACGACTCCTTCAACCAGACCTACCTCCATCTAGGCAAGTAGGGGCACACATTTGAATCTGTATATTATACTATCGTCCATTAACAGGCACTGTCGATTAATATCGATCTTGGGTGGCCAGAGTACAGTGCATCTAATCAGACGTACCTCATACTAAGTAAGTAATGATACACGCTTAAATGTGTAAATTACACCCTGATTCACAAGAGACACTTTCGAGTAACATCGATTTTGGCTGGTAGGAGGACTATGACGACCCTAAACACATTTACCTCAATCTACGTTAAGTAACTATATGCATAGTATCTATAAATTATTCTCTCATCCATTAAATGACACTATCGATTAATATCGATTTTCGGTGGTGTGACATGTCTAACCAAACCTGCCTCAGCCTCAGCGAATAATAATACAATCTTGAATATACAAATTATGCACTCATGTTATCAGAGATTATCGAGTATAATCTACATAGGGTGGAAACCGGTGAAGCCTTTAACCAGACCTAAGTCAGCCTAGGTAAGTCATAACCGAAGCTTGTATTTGTGGATTAAATTTCCATTGATTAGTAGAAACTGCCAATTTGTATCGATATTAGGTGGAAGGATTGCGACGCCTCCGAAGAGACCTGTCTCAGTGCAGGTAAGTAACGTTCCAGACTTCTGGCCGTAGCTTACAGTCTCAGACGCTGTAGAAAGTCATGTCCAATTTCAGTTTAATACAAATATTTCCTGCAACAGTATCTTGTATAGTCTTGGTAAAACTTTCAGGTTATCTAATTAAGGTACAGTCGTTAGATGTTTAAAATAGTTCATCTCAGTAAAAGCAGTTACAGTAGATGCAACTGCAATGGTGATAAAGATAGTGAGGATAGTAACAATTGCCTCTGCAACTGCAATAGTGATAGAGAAATAGTAAATGTACAAAAGTCGCAGCTTTAACGAACAAGCAGTTCAGTCAGAACTGTATAAAATAATTATCAGGGTTTCCAATTTCGAGGGCCTAGCCGGACAATGACCCATAAAGTGGCTTGAAATCGTTGGTTTACAATTGTTCAGAATTGTAACATGGCAGTATTTAAAGGTTCTGAACATATTTCGCTTCAAGATATTTTCAATAAGGACACTTTTTTTTCATTAGTTAAAACCCTGTCACGCGATAATGCTGTATCCAAGGGAAAGACAGCAGTCTACAGTACATATGTGGGAGAAACCCATTTTCATTCACTAGCATGCAGTACTCTCACGTGTTAGTGGGTGCACACAGGGTTTAGATTTATAATTGGATCCACTGAACAGCTGTAACTCACAGCTACGAATAGATATAACGCTCTCATTAATCTACAAACTTAACAAATCACTACAGCACATGGTACGTCTAAGACTGTTAAGCCTTCGCCGGCCGTTCGTTGCTTACCGTCCTCACTAGGCGTCGCTAGGTTACGGAAGTTCTTCACGGTGAACCATGCCCTGACACTGCTCACTTACAGCCCACAAACTGCAGACTCAAGAATGACTGCAACTAGATCAGCGTGACGGTAACTGATTGACATCATTTTAATAATAAGAAATTACTGCCGACACTTGCCAGCATAGTGATTCTTGGTTCCGGATCCAACGGCATTCACCACTTAATTTTACTGTCTACGGCTCTAGGAGCCCTCAGAATCTTACGCAATTACTGGGCCGTTACCTGGTAGCGGCAAATTGCTTCTGGCCACATTATTCTCTCCTTTCAGCTGTCATGTCAAAATATATTACAATACCACAGGCATTAATTGATATAACCCTACAGCTGGATACTAATCTACTAAATATATTAATGTATCAATAGATTGACACTAATGGGTGTTATTTTACAGCAATTCCATCTCAAATTGGCCATCACTATCGAAAGAAAGCAATGGACTTTTGGAACAAACGGTTACCTGATATCCTCAAAGACCTGCCACCAAATGAATCTGCCAACCCTGCTGAAAGGCCCCAAATTTTACCACCGGAGGAAACACATCCGCAGGGACCTCATTATTATAATCCAAAGCGAACACAAGGAAATACTTGGTACAGGTTTCCTCCTCATCACGCCACGCAGACCCCGACTGTGTACGGGACAATCGTCAACAGAGGGAGCGAAAAATCTAAAGCTGCATCTACAGTACTTCTTGGTGTTGATAGGGAGTTTGGTTCCAGATTACCCGAAGAGAAAGCTGCGGGAGCAGCAGAACCACCACCGGAAGTAGACACTGGAAGTTCTTCTTCATTAGCTATGAGTATAGTGATAGTGATCGGCGTCTGCTTGCTTCTAGTAAACCTGTGTGCATTCGCAGGCCTCTATTACAAACGTGACAGACTTCGAGCTCAAGAGAGATTGATGAAGAAGCGTTATGAAGACGTAGAGCCAACAAACAACCGAGAACTTTACATGAATCAAACAAAAGATGAGGAAAATGACGAGGAAAATATTACAGCGTTGCAGATTACAGGAAGGGAAGATATTAAAAAGAATAAGAAAAATCAATCGAGTGGGGAAGAGACGTATGAAGCAGTGAGAAGCAGAGTTAAGACGGTAGACGGTCGAGAAGGTGGAGTGGAGGAGGAAGATGTTGGAGAAAACAGCTCCAAAAGATGGCGACTTTCGAGACAATGCAGCGCAAGTACGATGGACCCTCATACGAAAGTAAGGGAGTGGATTGCACACGAAATAGTACAGAGGTGTTCTCCGAGGTTTTTACGACGAGCAAAATTTCAACTCCAAACACAAGCAAATCGCCCAGTATTACAAAAAGATAGTAGTTTTGATACATCTATAGATCAACTATCATCTGCAGTGATGACGACAGCAGAAAATTGTGAACCAAACCCAAGCTCTCCAGCCCTATCAAAACCAACTACGACAACAACATTGCAAAGGGCAAGGGTGAAGAAAGTGTCTGTTGCTGTAGATGCAACTCCAGCCGCAAGGAGTGCAAGTGTTTTGAAACAAATACCAATCGAGCAGCTGAGCAAATCCTTGGAGGAGCTTGGTGGAGAGAAGAATATATCGACAACTGCGGAAGGAAATAAAGCCGAGCTTAAGAGATCACAGACATGTAGAGAGAGTTTAGCTAGATCATCCTCATCACCAGTTCCTTCACTCTCGCCACAAAGAGACACGGTTCTCAGGCGAAGCACGACGAGTGTCAACTTTCAAGTGTGCCAGCCAATTCTGAAGAAACAAAATAAAAGCCTTAACATTGTCCATCAACATTCAAAGTCAGATCCTGTGCCACGTACGACTCATATCGTGCCTCAGGACACACCTCAACAGAGTTATTCTCAAAGTGTGATTCCTCAAGTTTATAACATATCAATAGACTCCAAAGGAGGTCCTTCTTCACCAACATACACAGAAGTATTGCCTACTAAACAAATGAAGAGTTTTCCTACCTCTGGCACTCATGTAAAATTTAAGCAGAACGCGCCGAAAAGAGATATTGGGATCACGGCATCAGCTGCTTCAAATCGCATGAAAGATATCAATGTGACATCTCGAGACAGCGCTCTTACTTGCGAGGAAATGCTGCCTGTTACGGACCCGCTCAAAAACATCCAGAAAAGAAATTTCCCTAAAGTATTGCCAGACTTGCCTCCTGGACAAGATGTACTGATAGCACACGAGATTCAACTGCACGGCGGAAATCGAGAATTGACACCTGTTCAGGCAGTCGCCGCAAAACGGCGTTCTCTGCCGCCTCCAACACACCTATTAGTCGGAATCCTAGCACCGAATAAGGACGCTGGGTCAGCTTCGCAACCAAGCACACCAACAGGAGCGCATCAGAAAGACAATCAGACACAAACTCAAGCTGGTAAGATACCTCCACCTCCTCCACCAAGGGTATCGTCCACACTGGGCCGGAAACCAAACAACACCGCGCCAGTAGAACCATTTGAGACCACACACGGATCTGCGAAATTAAAAAATACAGTATTACCATCTTCTTCCAACTACCATCAAAGACCTGAACCAAAAGTTATTATTAAGCCTACGAGTACGTCCCCTATAACTCGAAATCTTCCATCAACACAACAGGGTAGGGCTAAACAGCAGATTCCAAGGGTTACTCCTAATACGGGAGATTATCCACTGACAACGACGACTCTGCATCAGACTGGTGTCAGTCCTGCCCAGTCGCTAAGCAGAGAGTCCTCTCTGAGAAGTCAACACGCAGCACAACTACAAGATGAACTATCATTACCAACACAGAACCAGCAGGTGCACAGAGCAGCCGTACCAACATCAAGGTCAGATGCTTCAACAGCGACTCCACCACAAAAGACACCGGGAAAGAAGTCAACAGACACTACGTCCGACCTTCCCCCGACTGAAGACGCGAGTTCTAACACTGGTACAGTTAGACGTGTCAAGAAAACGAACCAAACAAATGCAGGCAATCCTCAGTTACCAACTCCTTCCATGAGTAAAGGTTCGAGTGTACCTAAAGCATGGTACGCCCAGTACAATCAGTCTTTCCTCTCAAAGACCAAGGACAGTGAAAATTAACATCCTTTTGTCAGATGTTGCTAATATTTTCACGACCATTAATAATACATTTATCTTGAAACTGAACGGGGTCAAAATTGCAATAGGTATTTCAAGGCAGCAATGCTATATAGGAATAGTTTACGGACACGCAGTTATTGTTCTAAGTAACTGACAAAAAAGAGTCAATACAGACACTTAGGGAAGAACAGTGTAAGACATTTCCTTCCCAGGAAAACATCAACAGAATATAATGAAGTATTCAAGGTAGGAGAAACTGAAAATGGTGAACAAATATTTTTTTAAATAATTTTCTTGTATGAGTCTCTGACATATAATCAGTACTGCCATTATCATGTTATGTCCATATGCTATGTAGTTCTGTTGTAGAGACGCCAGTTTAAACTGCACTGTTTGTGAATATCCTTAAGTTTTCTATTTTTCTTAATTATAATACAAAATATTACGAATTTAAACTCTATAAGTACTTTCTTCTGCCCAATACGAGTACAGCTGCAACAAATATTAATGAATGCTTAACTGTATTGTAAGACATACAGTAAGAGATTATGAATATTTCCTTGCATATTAAAGTTGTCCCTATGCTTAATTAATTAAGCACCACAACTTGAAGGCGTATGGGGGAGTGGATATATTCGTCCAAGCACTGGTAACCTCTGCTTTTGGTGGAGGGGAGTGGTCAGCTTCAAGCAACTGCCACTTTATCCCTGTAGAAACATGCCCTAGTATCCACTGGACAGAAAGTTGTTTGGGAACCAGGACAAGTCTGGACAATTTGTATTACACTTTACATTACTTAATATGGGAGTTTCGTCGTTCTAGAGATGCAGAGTAAAATTAAACTTTGGACATATTAACAGTTTATATACTCGTATGCAAATCAAAATTATTTTAGGGCACTGTCAAATATGCAGTGATTATAAATAGAATATAAATAATATAAATAGAATCTAATTTTTTCTAAATCTTTATATTTCTGTCTTTAAACAAGAAAAGCCTATTTAAATGTTATTTTCAAAGTAAATACACAGTCTCAGGTAGCCCCTTACATTGTTGTTGTATTTAATTTATGGCGATTAATCAGTGATATAAAATTGTGAATTTCGAGTTATACATCCAGTGAGGCCCGTATATCTTAAAGATATCCCGAAACCACTGATGAGCTTGCAGTTTGTTTCGTTGTCTTTGTGATCTTTGAGCGTTCTCTACAGAGTACATGATCTGAAGGCATGCCAAAGAGATCGTGTCTGTCAGTCCATGTTAGAATTGCAAGATTACTGAATGAATTTCCAAGTTATTAGGGGTACACACTACAGTATTTACAGTATTTTAAGTTTATAGTTCTGTGTCTTATGTGTCAAATAATATTAATTTTCAACAAGCTAAAATCAAACTTGATTTTTGTAATACTATGCACATACGTAAGAAAGAAAAGCGGTCCATGCATCCGCCTGTGGCTGTGAGGCTCGGAGGCTCCCACATTTCCTTGGCAGTCATCTCGCATATGGTGGCGATGTTGTCAGCCTAACGAGCCGGGGGCCCTTTACTCTCAGGAAGATTCCTGGTGCTCATTTCTGTGAAAGACTGAATCCGCCACAGGGTCATAGTAAGACTCGAAGGATCAGGTAAATTAAAAAGTCAAATGAGCTAAACGGGAATTGAACTCGCGACCTTCCGGGTTGTAGCACAGTGCCTCAGCCAACCACAAAATTCAAAATTTCGGGTTAAGTTTTTAACATTTTTCATTTCGTCAGTGTCTAACAAGATAAAAAAACATGAACTAGTTTTGGCCGATAATCCTTCATGAAATTCCTGTCGCTGTCAGTGTCCGATTCGGTCTGATAATTTACGTAAATCTTCAGATTTAAAATATATTCAAATTTACAATCCTATAATAATAATAATAATCTGATATATCTTGCTAGAAATTTCAATACTTAATTTTTTTTATTTTTATTTGTGATTTCAATTTGAGTGACAATTGAACCCCAAATGGTGGTATGAATTTTAATGTTACGACACAATGAATATAATTTGAATTACGATCGGATTTAAGTCGTTCTTATTCTATATCAAACCCGAGCCTTCAACGGACCCGGCTGTCTGAGCACTGTGTTGTAGCCCCTGAGGCATGGGAGATAAATGCTTCTGTGTATCAATGAGCTATTATTCTACTCAAATACAGTATCAGCTCGTCCACAAATATTACATAAGCATTATGAAATCTTCTCGGATGATGAACGTTGCGCGAAAGGAATTAGTTTCGGCCACTGATGTGAAGACTGTCTTGTGAGTATGTTCTCTTTAGTAGTACAACACAGTCTCAGCAGGTACAGCAAGGAGCATACTCTGCGATATTAATAAAATGTGCGTAAGCAACATGCTTGGAACCAAAACCTGAAAATGGATACGAAGACAGTCTATGAAGCACTGGATTCTATTTCCATATTTATTCAGTTTATCGCTCGAGAAACTCTGTTTTCACGCAATCGGTTCGCAACTTCAAAACATGTCTTATAGGAGAGTGTCCGACAGCGTATGGTCCATTTGTTGCATAGTGCAAACACACTGAAACATCACCCGCATTAATTCTCATTCTCTTAATGTTACTGTATTAATTTAATCTCATTATAAAAGACTTAGATGTCCTCTGTAGATTAAGCAGGGTAACTGTGTATGCAGAAGTTTAATTTCATAGACTCCAATTCTATAAATACAAAGACGCAGGAGGAAAGGAATTCAAATTCATGAACTATTATTTGTGGTCATTTAAGCGTTCATATTGACCCTTCTTCAAGACAAAAATAATTTTTTAAGGTAATCTGAAATGTAATTTCCAAAAGTTAGTGAAAATTTTGCTTTGATCAGTCTATTTGTAGATGCTGAGTAAGGGAAGATTAATTTTAGTGATACCAAAACAGTCATATTGAAGAATAGCGATTTACTCATGTTCTTAAGATTCACATTACTTTATGATAAGATGAGTTTTCAACAGATTCATAAATGACTATGTCAACATAAAGTACCAAAGAATTATTTTGTTATGAGAATAACTGCTACATTTAATATAATTACTTATAGCACATAAGTCAATCACAATTATGACTGAATTATGGTACAAATGTTTTCTTAGAGTGTTTTGTATTATTATTTAAGTAATAAAATAATTGCAACAGTGAAGGATCTGTTCAACGTTTGGTTGTTGTCTAATACTTCTGCCCTTTTAACTCTACTACTTTTCTGAAACTATCATTTCGCAGTGTCTTTCGACATATCACTGAAAATATGACAATAAATCATATTCACCAAAAAATATAATTTTAACTTTTCTCGCTACTATTTAGAATAAAATTGTAAGAAAATAACGTAAACCCTTTAAGTAAAATTAATTAATATTTTAATATAGTTTGTTAATGAGATAAGTACTAAATTCACAATTTCGATAGTACATCACCAAAATCTTGTACAAGAGGAACTGCAAATCTAAAATTTTTACAAGATCACAACCTATTTGCTACAAATATTTAATTGTCGAAGCAGAAGAATTAATATCTTGGAAGTGAAAATACGATCGTCAGCGCCACTGAAATTGTACTAATATGCCTTTCTCTCCATAACTGTGGGACCAGTAACAGTTCTGGGAAATTTTGTGTTAATATTAGGTAATATAAGAAGTATTACTGACTTGTACCATATTTTCTACATCTGCAACCAGTATTTAGTCATTATTATTCTAAACTCTGTTTGATAACAGTCCTTGTACATATAAAATAAGTAATCCTTTTAGCATATTATAGACTTAGATAATGTACTCTCTTTTCATTTAAAATTTTCCATTTCATAGTATTATACAGAGAGAATATTGCTCATATCTGCCCATTTCGTGAAAGGAATGAGGCAACTAATGATGTGTGTTGTCAATGTAAAGAGGTTTATTGTTCTGTCAAATAAAGAGATAATTATATTCCAATAAGCCTGAATATTAAATAAAGGAAATGATTATTGCTTTATGCCACTACTAATAATAAAATGCAAAATTAGTGTTTATTTCGAGGATAATATTTCGAGCGGAATATTACACTATGTAAGATTTGAGGCTTTCACGGCGGTGACTATGTAGAAAGCAGTCTTCTGGGATTTGGCACCGTGTATATGTGGTGTTAACCGACGTTTCGGAGGAACGTATCGCCTCCATCTTCAGGGTAGAAGGAAAACTATAAGAAATCCGCAAGCGAAGAGACTGCGGGAACCGGTAAAAGCAGACTGCTTAAAATATTTTAACAAATTAGCTATAAATATTGCAAAGTATTGGAACGGCCGCTGTAGTTGTAAAGACTTAAGATTTTACAGCAAATTGTATATTATTTATATCGTATGTATATATTTGAACTTTTAGAACATGTACTGTAATAGTGGCTTCTAACTGTATTGATGTAAAGGTGTCCCTCTGAAGACCGAAACATGTAAGGGCGTGAATAATTGAAATACGAAAATCTTAACCAGACATACTGAACGGAACTATTTAGCTTTTTCATATTACGTACTGTAATATTACTGTAATACACTGTATTTATTGTTCAAGTGACAAAGTTGGTGCAGTTTACTTGGTATAATACATTTTAGAAAATTCCACCGTCAACATCAATGCACTTTGCAACTCGTGTGAGGACATGGCGTGTTGCTCGTCTGTACAGTGTACAGTGTACTGTACAGTAAAATAGCTCTACCTCGGTAACCATTAGGAATAGGTCACATGTACGTATACAATTTTTCCTCAGAACGACTGATATTATGCCCTCCCGGAACATTCTGCCTAAATCTATGAAGATGTAACACTCGCTTGGGCTCTAATGGACCTCGAGTCGACTCAGGAGAGATTAGCGGAGTCTGTGTGTATCAGAAAACTCAATCAGGGAAATGAAAATTGTACCTGACAGCTGAATCTAATGGATCATTGTCGTTGAGAACACCTCACAGATTACGGGCTAGAAAATTCACGAAGCTAACACTGAAAAATTTCAGTACTTCTGTAGTTCGTTGTACATTAAACGAATTAAAAATCACAAGCGAAAACATTCACTAAAAGAAATACTCATATATACAGAATTAAAACAGGCAATTTTCTTTTAGGGAAGGCTAAAAGAATATTATTCATGCTTTGGATTTTGGAGGGGGAAGGACTAACACAGCGACATATGAAGTCTGGCAGAGCATTGCAGTGTAAGAATACGGATAAGCTGTTTCTTAAACCATTCCTAAATAAAGGAATGAAAGACACCTCTTAGTTTAAATGAATGGAACATGCATTCACGGGAGCTATGAAACGTCATTTGGCAAGAGTGATAGAATTTTTCTTCCTCCCACGGTGAAAGGGGAAATTACTGTCACAAATGTTGGTAACAAGGAAATTTGTTCGCTACAGATGCAGACGATTATTGTGATTACATACATACACGTCAGAATCTATGAAAACTGACTGAAAGCAAAATTAATTCAAAATCTACTTGCACACTGTGTTGTGCTCATGGGCAATATTCGCTATCATAATTACAAAGTCAATCGAGCGCCTGCATGAAATTCCACGAAAAATGTAATGACCTTATGGTTAAGCGATAAGGGAATTTCATATGACGGAGAAATGTGTAAATCAGATGCATATCAATTGATTAAATTTAATCAAATCCTGCATCTCACTTACAAAGTGTTGGATCTATTGGCAGAACACAAAAAAAAAAATTGTAACAGCAGAAGTCAGCACCACTGTGACGATTCAGTTTACGATTAGCATCCGTCCGTCCGTCCGTCCGTCCGTCCATCTATCTATGGCTCTACAGCCTTTTGTTCGGCCTTGGCTGCTTCTCACTTTCTTAATCATATAGTCAGTAGGACTCCTTGGACGGGGATCAGTCCGTCGCAAGGCCTCTACCTACAGACAAAAAAACACAAAAGTGAAACAAATGCACACAGACTTCTTTGCCTCAGTGGGATTCGAACCCACGACCCCAGTGTTCTAGCGGGCGAAGACAGTTCACGCCTTAGACTGCGAGGCCACTGTGTTCGAAATGATGATGTTAATCTTGCTGATGCAAATTTGCTCCGATCCTAAAAGCAGACCTGAAGGATGAACTTGTTCAGTGGATCAGTACATGAATAAGATCTTTTGAATGAGTCACATCCTGTTATCGTACACTTGGGAGGTAAGTGGCAGAGGAGATACGCGTAGTTGAAGAGTCAGGAGAGGAACTGGACATTATGAACGGTGGCAAAACACGTGGTCTGCTATCGATACATGGAACGTCTTCGAGCGCATGCCAACGTGGTCACGGATGGTGACAAGGGCTAGTACTGTGTTACCCTTGTATGAATACCTGTCTGCCTATGTTCTAAAAATCGAGAATATGCCAATTTCCATTCCATGGTTGACAGTGAAGAAATCAAATGCAAAGGTAAGTGCCAGCCAACGTTTGATATACGAGTAAGTCCATAGTTATAGCAAGTCACCATTCCTCCTTTCCAGGGTGAACCTGCAACCTCCGCAAGTGGCCCAGAAATCGTGTCTGGAAAGAGGGCTTTTCATGTGTTGGGATTTCTAGATACCTCTAACCTCATAGAGCTGAGACTTTCTTGACAAGCAGCCAGTTGTGCAGCTACTCAAGAACTTCCCAATATTTTATGGAACGCGAAGCTTCAGTATCGTGTTCAAAAGAGCCCTCCACTTGTCCCTCTCCTGAGCCAGATCAATCCAGTCTATACCATACCATTCTATCTCCTTGCAATCCGTCTTAATATTATTCTCCCACCTACGTCTTGGTCTTCCTATGAGTTTCTTTTCTTCTGGCAGTCCCACAAATATCCTACATGCATTCCATTTCTCCGCCATTCATATTACCTGCCCTGCACACCTCATTCTTCTTGACTTGGCATTGTAAATATACTTAGCGAAGAGTACAAGTTATGAAAATTACCTAAATGTCTCAGCTGAATGAATTATCCTCTTTCTCTGTCACTGCTTCTATTAA